GACACTGTCTCATCTGGATAAAAGGAACTGGGAACAGTCTGGATTCCAGGACAACTCAACAGGGCTAGCAACTGTGGCGAGAATGGTTGGGAGAAGTATTCAGAAGTTGGGACCAGAGCATTTTAGTCCCATTCTCCATCTATACTTAAGTGTTAGGGAACCCCAGAGTGAGAAATAAGCAGTTTTACTTTTCACCTAGTGTGTGTAAAGGTGAAGAAGGTATATTTGCCCTCACCCGGTGTCCCAGAATTTAGGCTAAAAGTTTGGGGTCTCTAAGAGGGGTTAAGATCTGTCTCTTCCTCCTTAAACAGGGAGAAGAATAAGAAGGAAAGAGGGTGGATCCGCGCTGGCTTCTGAATCCAGCCTGCTTTAGAGGATAAAGAAGGTTCTCTTAGGGGGGAGCTAAGCCACAGCTAATGGGAGACTGCAGGCAGTTGGTCCAGTGAGCCCCTATCCCTGAGTTCCCAGCTCCTTCTTTTCCACTCATCTCCCACTTTTTCCCTTGCCACATTTCCCTAGGAGATCTGCACCTCACCCCCAGCACTTTCTTCTCCCCTAGGACTTGCCTTTGTCTCCTCTGGCCCTGGGGAAAGGAGGTGGCACTAATACCCCTCCCCCCTTCTCCCCCAACTTTCATACAGATTTCCCCAGGAGACAAAGCAAAGAGACCATCCCTTATTACTATTATCTCTCAGGCCCCTCTTAAATCCATCCCCTTGTATGAGACCTGATGCTCACCATCTAGGCATTTAGGCCTTTCTTCAAATCAGCAAATTTGAGCAGACTGTGTGTGTGTGTGTGTGTGTGTGTGTGTGTGTGTGTGTGTATGTATGTATGTGTTTCATTTAGCCCTGAAGCACCCTGTCTCTTCTATCCTGAACCTCCCCCCTTTGGTCTGCTTTTATGCCACCTAAGGACAGAGTAACATGTATTTGGTGGACAGGACTCCAGTAAAGTTGCTGATCTGTTCTTTTCTCCAGAATGGGCTCATGTCCTCTTTCTCTGTACAACTATAGCATCTATCACTTGGCCTTTAAGATGCTGGGCTGCTAATGCTTTGAGGACCAGATGAGATGGATAGAAATGAGAAGGGAGGAAGAGAGCAGGAAAGCAGCAGGCTCCCTTTTGGGTGGGAAGTCAAGGCTGAATTCAAGGACAGGGTGATAGGAAGAGAGGAGACAAAGGCAAGTCATAGGGGAAAGAGATTGTCCTGGAAGGACTAACTTCTATGGCCATACAACACATTTACATGAAAGAAGTAGAAAGGGAGCTGTTTATTTCACCCCCTTCACTCTTCAGAGACAGTATAGGTTCTCCCACAGAGGAAAGAACCCCAAGATAAGAAGGAGAGGGGTCTAAGGAGCAAGCCCAGCAGTGATTTCAAGCCCTTCCCAGAAGTCCTTCCCAGGAGGGCACAATTCAGATTCCCTGAGAGAGACAGAGTGTGAGAAGACAAAAGGGCTTGTGCAAAAGGGATGGAGACAACAGAGGTGGCACACACACACACTCACACACACCACACACACACCACACACACTCACACCACACACACACACACACACACAAAGAGGGGCAGAAGAAGAGCCTAAACCCTTTGGGGCCCAGACTCCTTCAGACACCATGAGCCATTCTCCAACCCTATTACACGAAGCCTTCTTTACAGGAAGTTGCAAAAGCTGAGACCAGCTTATAAACTACTGCTACATATTAGAGTAGGTCGTTGAAGGACCTAAACCAAGTGTGGAGCATTGGGATACAATCTAACATGCCAGGGGACGGCCAAGATGTCCGGGACACTCTAATCTCCTCCTCCATCCAACACTGGTACCTTAATCATTGAGCTCTTTCCCAAAGTCTGAAGGGGAGATTGAAACAAGGCTCTCAAACATGGGGGAAGAATCCTCCGACCTCAGCTTCTCTTCTCTCCAGTGGATTTTATATCTCTTTTTTTTAAACTCTCTTCTGAAGCCAAGGAGGAGTTGATTTTTACAAGAACTTTCACCTCCAATCTACATTTCTTTCCTTAGCCCTCCAGTTTAACAAATGGATGCTCCCCTTTCCGATCTCCTCCCTCCCTCATCTTTCAGGAAAGAAAAAAGAAAAGGGGAAAGTTCCTACCAACTCAAGGAGCTTTAGAAAACCTGAAAGGGAAATGGAAAAAGAAAGGAAGGAATCGAGAAAGAAAAAGAAAAAAATCAGTTTTTCTGGCCTTTCCCAGTGCCTCTGTCGCCCAGGCTCTCCTTCCTCCATAGTACCCCACCCCCTCCCGCTCTGCCCAGGACCATCTCAGTTTCCCTCTCTTCTCTTTGGGGTCGGACATATGGAACCCATTTCGCTGGTGACATTGAAGAGCCGCCGGTGCGCCCGCCTTCCGCCATGGCGCCCCCGAGGCCCCCGCGCCTCTCCGTGGCCCTGTCAGTCGCCACTCCTTTTGCCTGGCGACTTGGTCAACTCTTAGGTCGGGTCCCACACTGGCCTGGGATTCCTGCAGCCCGGCGCCGGGTTCGGAGCATCCGGAGCATCCCTGGGCTGGAGCGGTTCTCTGGGGCCCTGCTGGCGGAACAAAGCCGGGGCCGGAGGCGGGGCGCGGGCTGGCCTTTCCCCCCATCCCAGCACGACGGGGTGCTCCCGGGGCCGAGCGACCAGGATGTGGATGTGGCCGGCCCAGGCGCATCCCCGGCCAGGACCAAGGGTCCCGGGACTGGCCGTCAGTTCCTGCCGGTCTTCCGCGCTCGGCCGCACCCGGCCGCCCGCACCCTAGTCCGAGACCGCACAGGTAAGCGTGCGGTGTTCAGTCCAGCGTCCTGGACCCCGTGGGTGTATAGAGGCGGACGCGGATATCCCCAGTCCCCAGTCCGCATCTGAATGAGAGACAAAGATCAGAGCAACTTAGGGGAAGTGGCATGCGACTGAGAGTGGGGGCCAGGGCCCTAGAGTGTAGGGCAAATGTGGAGGAATGTGAAGGTGTACCTGTGGGTAGACAAGATCCGACCAGGATTTGGGGAACTCTCGGATTCAGGATGGATAGAGACTTTGGAGGGTTTTCCACGGGGAGGTGAGATCTGTGGGTGGTGAGGGGTAAGTGAGGATGGGCCTGGCTCCCACAGCCCAGCTGCCACCGTGGTCCAGCCCTTTAGCACCTAGGAGTTATTTGAAGCTGAAATTACAAGGGCTTGCGCTGAGGCTGGGTGTTAAGCTGAGAAGGTAGAAGAGGACTTGATTTATGGCTTTTGGAGAAGCTGTGTTTACTATCTGCCTGCTCTGGAAACCAAAAACCAAACAGAGCAGAGGCGAGAGAAGTTCTTTTCCTTGGAGTGGGAGGCGATGCCAAGCTGGTGCGTTGGGATTTATTTTCTCAGATGTGAGGAGACCCTAGGCATCACCTCTTCATAGACAAAGGGTTTGGTGCTTCTGTGAAGTGTAAGAAGTGTGCAGGCACACATTTGTGGAGATGTGCTCATGTATTGTGGGAGTGGATCTGCACACTGGGATATATATATGTATATATGTATGTATATATGTATATGTATATATATGTATATATATATTCACTCTGATTGGGATTTGCAGTTACATAGAATCAACTTGTGAGTGGAACAGGAGTGAGACTGGGTGTCCTCTGGTCCTGGTACTTTGGGGTGGGGTAGCTTTGGATACCATTCACTGTCCCTTTAAGCTGTCCACGAAGTACTGCTTCTCCTGCCTGGCCTTTCTTTCTTCTCAAAGTCACATGCAGCGAAGCCTGTGTCCAGGCCTCTGACCATTGTTCCTCTTTCCTCTCCTTGTGTACTGCCTGCCCGCACCCATGCTAGCCCATCCTTCCCTTTGGATCTATAACTTCGTAGTGGGACACTAAGAATTGGACAAATGTGCTTGGGTGAAGGGTGTGAGGAGACATGGAATGGCAAGGGAGATGAGGGTGACTGGCATCTGGTTCTTGGAAGGGTTGGGTCCTACCATTACTGCTCAATTCTTCCAGTCTTTGTTTGGGGAGGGGGTGGTCAAAAGAACATAAAGGTGACCAAAAATAAGGGAACCACGCAGAGTGGTGGTGGTGGGGGGGGAGAAAAGCGTTTTGATCCCTAGATAGTTATTTCTGCAGGCCAACTATTGGCTCTTGTGTTTCTGCCCAGACACAGGCTTTGCCTGCAAATTGTTTTGCATTAAATTTTCTCAGCCACAGAATTATCTTTCCTCGCCTCCAGCTAAACTTGCATTTTTCCACCAGACACTTGGGCCCTAACCAATGAAATCTGAGAGGAAGCGGCTGGGCTCTAAGTGGCCGTAATTTAATTGATTTTATCATAAATCATCAACTTGATGAAGAACCCGAGGTTTCAGTGAAGTAAATTGATATTAATGGAAGTTTCTTGAAATGCAAACCCACTGCTTTGTTGGGGCATCTTGAGCTGGGAAGGTGGATTACATGTTTCTCAAGAGCTGGGAACTCGACCTGGAGCTCAGTACAGCTTGGGGTGGGTGTGGAGAGAATCAGGCTTTGAGATCCAGCTGCCTGAGGATGGCTCTCTGGGGGAACACAGCAGAGAAAGGAACTTTGTTGGGATGGGAGCAAATTCTGACTCTGAGGACAGCCCCCACCCCATTGACCATCCTGGAAATGCTGGTTGTCAACTGAGGAGGGGGGCAACAGGGGAAGCTGGTAGGTGTGTGGGCAGAGGTGGGGGTATGGGGTGAGAAGGCCAGGATTGCACAATGGGCCCATTGATGCCTGGTTAAATATTGCCAGGTTGAAGCTTTCCTTTTCTAATTATACAAATTAATTATTTACTGCTCAGATTGCTGCATCCAAAAATAGCGCTTTTGATTTGGTAATGAGGGTGGAGAACAACCCAACCTCCCCCCAGAAGATGAGCAATGAGATGCAGTGTTTCTGTGGGTTAGAGAGGACCAAGACCAGGTTGTGTGCTCAGTGGTGGGAGAATAAACATGTAACTCCCAAGAGGAAGTATTTTGCATCTGATAACAATGGCGCTGGTGCATTTATTGTCTGAACTCAGTTTATTATTGTTTGTTGCTACTCATATTTACATATTTACAGGACACAGAGAATCAATAATGTTTGGCTGAAAAGGAACCTTGGAGCTCATTTAGTCTAATCCTCCTCCTCCATACAAATACCGAGGATCTAAAGAAAGGCACACTGGGGCCCAAGGCATGCTCTGCCTCAAGTCACATGGCCAAGCTGCAATGACTAAAGCCTGAGTCTCCTTGTGGTCAAGACTGTGGCAAACATAACTCGAGATCAATTTATTTACCACTCTGGGCCTCACTTTCCCTATCTGCTGCAATGGCAGAGTTGGGCTGGACACCCAACTCCTCTCTCATTCTGGACACCCAACTGGACACCCAACTCCTCTCTCATTCTGCTCTTGGGGCAACTTCCCTTTCTGTGGGCATCTGGCTGTAAAAGTTACTGTAGGATTTGTTTGCAAAATTCAGAGTTTGCCTCTGCTTGTCCTTTGAAAGTAAGTCCCCTGGACTGCTTTTCAAGGAGTCCCTGTTCTCAATGGAAGGGAAGGCTAGGTCAAAAGCAATGGGAATATAAGGCTAGCAAATTGGGTTGAGCTAGGATTGGTGTAGGGTTTAAGGAAGATGGGCCTTAGCTCCACCAAACAAGACTCTTTTCCTGTTAGATGCTAAGCCAAGGCTGCGATTGTCCAGGATTCAGTGTTTTGGAGTCCTGGGGTTCCTCCTCTTACCCTAGCCCAAGAACTGAATCATGGGTTTATAATTTAGAATCTATGGAAACAGGTGCAGCTTCCCCATAGATTCACCCTTGACCTCTGGATGTTTAGACCTTCTGTTTCTGGGAGAGGACACACATAGTTGGCCATAGAACCATGCTGACTGTCTTTCCAGGGTGACTAGGACAGAGGCCAGCAAGAGGAAGCTCCCTACTTGTTTTTGTGGTGTTTTCTTTCTCTTCTTCCAACTTCAGAGGCATAAAGCTTGAAAGCAGAGGCTTCGTGGATGCACAGCTGTGTGAAGGGCAATTTCTTGTGGGACTGAGGCTATAAAGAGGGTGGAAGTGTTGAGGAGAGTTCTGGGGAGTCTAGGGAAGTATGGCTTGGGATATGGAGTCCAAGGCAGGAAGTGGAGACAGCTAGGCAACAACTCCATCTTTAGAAATCCCAGGCTCCGGTCAGATAACCTACTTCTCCAAACCTATTTTAAGAGAGAAAGTTAAAAAAAAAAAAGACCTTCAGGCCCAGACTCTGGCCCTGTCCCATTCTGACTTTGGCATTTTATGTTTGGAGGCCTTCTACTGATTGGCCATTAATCCAATGAGTTATTGTCTGCTAAACAGAGGTCATTGGGAGAGAGACATCCAATCTGTCAGGAGAGACCCTGCTTGCCGGCCTCAAGTGGACTGAGCCCTTCAGTCTTGCCACCCTCTCCCTCCCTCCCCCAGCACCCTCCCCCAGCTGTCCAGGATTCACAAGTCTCTCCCCTTCAACCCTCTGCCTCTCCACTGCCTACCTTTGTCTCCACACTGGATAGGGGTTGAGTTTTCCAGGGCTGAGCTTCTAGATGTCCCTGATTCAAAAACAGATTTTTCATTACCAAAGAGCCTGCCTGCTGCTGCTGTCACTCCAGGATTGTGGTCCCATCATTACTAGGTTCGGGGGCTTCCACAGGCACCCAGTAGACTTCATAGATCCTTGTGCTTACTCTGCATCTTTCTGCCTTACCCCTCTTGTCCTGAGGCAGGAGTGGGTGGTACAGCGTGGGTTTTCTTTTCTTCTCTCATTGGGGTGGGCCTTCTCTCCTCTCTCCTGAGTTATCATCAGCTGCATCTATATCCTATATCCACCTTGGGGAAAGCGCCCAGACCCTCTTCCTATGTTTCTTTGTTCCTTCCCACTCAAGCATTTTTCGAGAACCAGGGACTAGGGAGGCAAACATCTAGTCTACAAACTCATCTTCATTAACAAAACCCTCCTCTTACAAACCTTTAAGCTTTAAAATCTTCACTAATACTTAAGAAGAGATGGAGATGTGCATGAACTTTACAGTACTTGGTGGCTGCCACAAAGTTGGGATGGTCACACTAGAAAAGCGCATGGGACAGGGAACCCAGGCAAGGGTGAGCAAGAAACAAATTGCCAAATGCCAGGAGCAGCTCCAGAAGCTCCAGGAGAAGTTTCCTGCTGTTTAAACTGAGACCAGGATCCTTGGTCTCCAGAACACTGAGAGCAGAAACTGGTTTTTTAAAGGAACTAGCCCTGTTTGCCCTTACTGAGATAATTTTCGTTTGCTCTTTGGTGGATTTTTTGGCCGGGGGTGGGTAGGGATAATTGCACTGAGGTTCACAAGGGTGGGCAGCCGGCCATAACTGACCACTCAGAGGTTGCTTACAGTGCTCCTGCTCTCCCGTTACTCAGCACCTAGTAGAAGTCGGGGAAGAGAGTGGCAGAACTCTTACTCTGTCTCTACGGAGACAGAAAGGATGTCTGTGAAGGAAGATGCTTTCTCCTGGGTTTTTGTTTTGTTTTGTTTTTTACACTTACTATTATTATTGCCTTTATTAGTTCACATTAGCTGTCTCTTAATTTTTTCACTTTTCATTTTTTCTCTTTCTCTTGTCCCTTCCCACAACGTTACCAAGTTCTCTGACTCCAGAAGAAGATTGTTTGTCTCTACCCCTAAATCAGGCCGTTTACTCTACCGGTCTTCTGTCTGACCTCAGAGACTACTAGCCTCCTAGCCTCAAGCCCTTCTGGGTCCTCTCCACTAAGTTCCTTACCCTGCCTTTGTCTCTTAAATTTGAAAAGACTCCTAACCCATCACCACCTTTCTGACCAAAACACGCCCTTTCACAGCTTCCAGTTTGGCTCTCCTCTGTACCCTGCCACCTCCCAGCTCCCTGAGGCCCGGGGTGGGGTGGGGCGTGGAAGGGGGCAAGTAAGAAACCAAAGGAGCATCTAACTGTCTCCCAAGTATTTCAAGTGGATGCTGTTTTTAAGAATTGACCAGGATATCTTAGATTCAACTCCTAGCCTACTTGGGGGTGCATAGCCTCTGGAATTTTCTCCCTGCTGCTTTCCTGGCTCCTTTTTGCTTCCAGTCCTGGATGCCCCCCTTCACCCACAAGGGATGGAGAAGGCTTGGGAGGAGAGTCATTTGCTCACTCTGGAGCACCTTACATCTCCCAGTGCAATCCTGGCCACTGGAGCAGCTCCCCCCATCCCTGCAGTGGCTAGGTGACTGACTGTAGGCTCTGTGGTTATTTATTCTTTTAGGCAGGGTTGTGCAGTCTTGAAGGTGACCAGGTCCTCTTCTCAGTTTCATTACTGTCCCTAGCCAGTGGTGGGAACTTTTAGATGAACTGAAGAGTCTGTAGTACACTTTAAAAACTTCTTATTTTGGGGAACTAGAGAAAAGAGTTAGTAGTCTAAGTTCCCTGAAGCCTCTGGAAGCTCCCTGGATCTGAGTTGCTGACTCACCAGGCCTAAAATTCCTTGGCATCTCCCCCTTTGGCATCTCACTCTTCCCAGAGTTGTGGGGTATGGGAATAGTTCCTCAGGAGGGTCCTGGCTTGAGTACCAACACTTTTTTTTTCTTGAGACTATTAATAAACACAGAAAATTGACTCTCACCTTCTCTACTTAACTCCTCAATTCCCACCTAGGTTCAGTCACCAAATCCCAAGGAACCACCAACTCTGGGCAGACAGTAAGATTCCAGGTACCATACCTAGGGTTCTGCACATGACTCCTGTTGCTGAAGGTTTCTTCTGTATAACAGGCCCCAGAAAGTCAGTCACTCCAGCCAATTTGAAGTGATCCTATGGGTTTAGAAATTGTGTGTGTGTTTGGGGGGAGGGCTGTAAGCCAGGAGACACCCCCTTTTCACCCCTAAAGAAGAGAACTATCATCGCTAGAGCCAGACCAAGCCGGTCTCTCTGGGAGGGGAGACAATAGCTGGGGATCTCTCACCTTTGTTTCCCAGTCCCATCGCCCGTCCTGGTGTATCCAGATGGGAGAAGGAAAAACCGAGTGCCCCAATCAGGAAATCAGCACAGGGTCCTGGTTGGATGTGTCTACCTGAAGTTAAGAGAACCAATCTCCAAGCTGTCTGTCCATGTAGAGAAGAGACACTGGGAGCCTTCTGTGTCTTCCCCTAAGTCCCCAGAGTCAGCAGTTAGGCAGCAGGCAAGCACTCTGGCTTGAAGAAATGGCCTGTGCTCTCTCTCTTTTTTTTTTTTTTTTTTGTCTTTTGCCTCTAACACCAGTGTTTCTTTCCCCACCCCCTTTCCCAAATTTGCAGACACCTACATTCTTGGCTCCTGCCTTCCTCCTACAGGCCTCTTCCTTGCCTTTGCCTGCCCTGTTCAAACACACCCTAAGAAAACTTTTAGCTTTTGTAGCCTTCTTTATTTGTGCCAAGAGTCATAAATCTTGCCATGCAGAGCATAGTCGTAGTGAAATGAGCAGGTTTGCTCCAATACTCATCCTCTTCCATCCTGTCTGCTAGTGCATTTAAAACGCTCTCCTCGGGAGTACAAATGTCCTTCTCACCCCCTCTAGCCCCTTCTGACTGTCCCGAGGTGAGAACTGTAACAGAAATTACTCAGGGAAGTTCTCAGAGCCCTTCTTCTGGGCCGCTGTCTGTAGCTCTAGCTAAACCACAGGCTCTTTCCCTTTGTCACCCTCCCTTCAGCCCTACTCCCCCTGCAAGATGTTCTGGGTTTTTTAATCATCACTCACCGCTAGTTGTCTGTTCTCAAAAAAAGGGGTGTGTGTGTGTGAAAAAAAGTCTGGCCTTGCCCCCTCCCCCCCATTAGAGACTGGACCTGGAGATTTGGGGGTGGGGAGGAGGGAAGGATCAGGGACTGGGAGGTTCAGCAAGAGGGCCTGAGACTCAGCCAGCAGACTACTTAAAAAAAAAGTCTCTGTGCCTACCGTGAAGGAGCACAGGAGGGGCGCCCAGCGTCTCTGGCCCAGCCAGGCTAGCCTCGGACTGAGTCACCGAAGACTACTTCTCAGATTAGCATAATGGTCCAGTAGTGAGGCCTGAATGGGGGGGGGGGGGAGACAATCTGTGAACTCTTCTCCTCTTCTTCTCCCATCTCAATGTAAAAATGCTACCTGTTTTTAAAACAAAACGAGACGAGACCACCCTCCAGTTTCTTTGCTTTGCACTCTTATTTGGGGGAGGGGTACTCGCCCCCCCCCCAGCGCTCATCACAACAATCACCTTCCCTCCTTATCAGGCATCTATGCTTGCTAAAGGGGGAAGGTGGGGGGTGAGCTTGTGTGTGTGTGTGTGTGTGTGTCTGTGTCTGTGTGTGTGTGTGTCTGTGTGGTTTTTTTTCCCTGTGCAAAAGCAGAGGCCATTGTTACGGAGAGTAGGGCGTACCAGTCTTATAGGGCAACCACACTGTGGCGGCTTGGCCGAGCTGGAGCCCGGAGCTGGATTCTCGGAGAGCCGAGCCTCCCAGCACCTTTCGGTCGGCTATTTTTCCCCCGCTCCCCTACCCCTCCCTCCTGCGCACCCCCGCTCCAAAGCCGAGTGAATTGAAGCGGTCGCCGAGGCTCTTCTGGCCGGTCTGCCCCTCGGGCTCCCCAGCCGGGGTGGCTTTGGGGAGGGGGGCGGGCGACGCGGCTTTAAACAGTGGTCTTTTTTTCCTTTGCCTTCAAGGAGGGGAGATTTCTCGCCTGCCGCTCGCGCTGAGGCTCGATGTGAATATATATTATGTCTGCCTGTTCTCCCCTCGTCGGTGGCTAAGGTAAGCTGGACTGAAATAGGCTATCAGTTTGTGAATGGCGGAGAGTATGTCTCAATGATTTATGGCCCATATGACTCCAATCTCGGTTCAAGAAGAGTTCACAAGCTTTAAGCTTCCTTCCACGCAGCGACTGACTCTCTCTCTCTCTCTCTCTCTCTCTCTCTCTCTCTCTCTCTCTCTCTCTCTCTCTCCTCTCCTCTCCCCCTCCCTCCCTCCCTTTCTCTCTCTCTCTCTCTCCCTCTCCCTCTCTCTCTCTCTCCCTCTCCCTCTCTGCTTCTTCGCTCTTTTTTTTTTCCAGCAGCCAGCTCTAGGGCTCAATCCCCTCTCCCCCCCGTTTGCTAAGAAAAGCCGAAGCGTTTTCTTTCCCTTTCTTATTCTTTATTTTTCTTCCTTTCATTATTATTTTTTAAAGTCCTGGAAGGTGGCCTATCCTCTCTCCTGGGTTTCTCCAGCTATTGTTACCCTTCCTGGCTCTCCTAGGAGTGTGCCTGGAAAGGTGGGGTTCTGGAGGGAGGGATTGCCTCCCTTTTCTAGCGAGACCCTGAGGGGAAGCCGGGAACCACTATCTCCCTCCCACCCTTCCGAGGAGCCATATGGAGACTGAATTTTTCCAACATGGAGGCAAGGGAAATAGACATGTTTGGCTGGGTAGAGCTGTTCCCCACCCCCTTCTGGATCCTAGCTCTCAGATCCCCGCGGCTCTGTCCCTTCCCTTACTGTCCCATCAGTCCGGCCTCTGCGCCTTCCAGCCTGGAGCCCTGTTGGGCAAAGTCCCGAGCAGAGTTGCTAAGGCGCCTTTTAATTCGGTTACCTCCAGCGCTAAACTTGCCGCCGCGGGGCCTGGCCCGGCCCGGCCCGGTGTGCTTGGAACCTGCCGCAGCTAACCAGTTCGGCGTCCCGATCGGTTTCTTCTCGCTTCCTTGAGCCTGAGCAGGAGGCTGGTAGCTTCTCCCCAGCCACCGAGGTAGCAGCGGTCAGACAGCCCGCCAGCAGCGGCAGCTGGAAGCTCTCCGAATCCACAAACCCTCCTGGCCCAGTCTCAACCGCCAGCGGAGTCTCCATTCTTTCCTATCACGTCTCTGGCTCCTTAGCTTCGCACACTCGCCTGGCCTCTGTCCTGCAATGGTTTGGGGCTTATTGCTGGGGGAGCAACAGAAATTTCAGCCCCAGGCGTCTAGTCAAATTACTAGGTTTTTTATTTATTATTATTATTACCACCACCATCATCATTATTGCTGTAACAATCATTTAGGCTAAATAAAGCCAGGGCCCAGCCAGCTAACCCCCTTCAACGTTTTTATTTCATTCTCTTTTCTATTAATAACAAACTCGACTGATGCCGCTTAATTAATTCTTCCTTTCAGCCAGGGCTGCTCCGAAGCTAATTTTGGTTAAATCATCAGAGGCAAATGGTAATAATAATAAAGGGATTGGGTCAGCCTGGTCAATTGGACTCCAGTCCTCCCTGGAAGGACCTGCTGCTTAGCAGACCCATGTGTATTTCCAGAAACAAAAATTTCTCGGAAACCAATCGGATCTCAGGGCTACACCAGCTCCCTTTAAGTATGAATCTATCTTTAAGAGCAGCATTTATGTGCGGGAGGGACTCACTCCACCTGTATCCCTTTCCTTTTCTTTTTACTAAATTTTCTTTGGAGTTGACCATCTAGGATGAATGATATTTTAAGTTTTTCCAAGAGCATATGACCAATCTGGAGGCTGTAGGAAAGTATCCACCCACGGAGGGCTGGAGGAGACACAGAGAAAGGAGAGACACAGTCAGAAATTTGGGAACAAATGCAAACTCCCCTGACATGGTTAAGCTTTATTTTTCTGGTGCACTTTTAAAGGCTGTAGTAAAATAGTGACTGTAATTTTGTTTTATTTTATTTTATTTTATTTTTGCTTTTAGAACCTCAGTAAACAGCCCCCCTTTCAAACCCAAAGAAGAATCCTGTTCAAATTGTTTTGTGAGTTTTTTTCATCCTGAAATAATCTCCCCCATCTCAGTAGAAAATTCCAGTGGTTGCACACTCTTTTATATTTTTTTCTTTTTACTTTTTTTTCTGAGAAAGAAAAGAAAACAGACTATTATGGAAAGAATGGGGGAGACCCAAGCCAAATGGTCATAGCACCAACCGGTCTTGCCTGGGAAATCTAAACAACCATGGTCCATTTGGAGGCTCCACAGGGGCTGCTAGTTGCTAGGTGCCAAGACTGGAGGTGATGGTACCTGCAGATGGGACATAGATGGATGGAGATTGGGTCCACTGGCTCTGGGAGTTAAAAATCTTCAGGAATTTTCTACCTTAGGGGGTTGCGATCTTCCTGGAGGGAAGGGTCCCAGATGAACTTGCTTTTCAGTCTGGCTTGAGTCCAAGATCTGCAAGTTCCTTCCAGGCCAGACTCTGCTTAGGTGGAAGGATCTGGAGGAAGGAGGGAGAGGAGGCAGAGAGGCCTCTACACTGGACCTCCAAGATGCTTTTATTTTGCAGTCTAATAGTGCTCCCTCCCTGGAATTGCGCTATCCCAAAGTTGGGGGGGGGTAGCAGAAATTGTAGGAAAGGTCAGGAGCTGGTGAACAAGCAGGAGAGGAGGCAATGGTTCACGAAGCAAATCCATTCTATTCCTAAGCATTCGCTAAAGGAGTTCAATCCTGATTTTTTTTAAATCGGAATGAAAATCGGTGTTTTGTTTCGTTTCCTTTAAAACGAAAGTTGAAGCAAGAATCATGCATGTCAGGTCAGATACTTGGTCCTAGCGTCTGCTGCAGAAAGACTGGCGAGGAGAGAAAAAAACCAAAACAAAACAAAACTCTATTGATGTCAGTTCCCTTTTTAGTTCCTAAGATGGATTCGAGGCCCAGTCCTCTTCTCCCCCGTGTCTCTTCTCTCGCCCCGCAGGTCAGCCGCTTGGAACAGACCCGGGAGGAGGGGGGCAGAAAGGGGAGGGGGGTCCGGCATATCACGTGACCCCCAGGGGTGCCAATGTCCGGTCGTGAGGGTGTCAGGCCCTTGCAAGTTGCCACCCACTGCCCGGGCCTCGCCCAGCGATGCAGAAAGCCACCTACTACGACAACACGGCAGCTGCGCTCTTCGGAGGCTACTCCTCGTACCCTGGCAGCAATGGTTTCGGCTACGACGGGCCTCCCCAGCCCCCCTTTCAGGCCGCTACGCACCTGGAGGGTGACTACCAGCGCTCAGCGTGCTCCCTGCAGTCCCTGGGCAATGCCGCTCCACATGCCAAGAGCAAGGAGCTCAACGGCAGCTGCATGAGGCCCGGCCTGGCCCCAGAGCCCCTGCCCGCCCCGCCGGGCTCACCCCCACCCAGCGCCGCACCTACCAGTACCACTAGCAACAGCAATAACGGGGGCGGGCCGAGCAAAAGCGGCCCCCCCAAGTGCGGTCCGGGCTCCAACTCTACCCTCACCAAACAGATATTCCCCTGGATGAAAGAGTCGAGGCAAACGTCCAAGCTGAAAAACAGCTCCCCCGGCACAGGTACCAGCTCTCTGCCTTCATCGTCAGCTTTTGTCCAGTCGAGGAATGTCACTGTTATTCTAGCGTCCGACCCGTAGGCGCCCACAAGGCGCCTGGGAACAATATTAGGTGGCTGCCTGGTTTTTTTTTTTTTCTTCCTTTTTTCTGTACTTCTCTCCACCTGATGACCTCTGACCCTGCCAACACCCAGTCCCTCCAGCCATCCTCCACCTGGGTTTCCAAGAATTTCCAGGAGGTGGGACGGTTGGCATCAGAGCCCTTTCCATGGCCGCATGGCCTGGAGGGCATAGAGTCATCAAAGATAGATTATTATTAAGTATGATTACTGTGGGTATTAATCACCATCGCTCAGGAGGCCTGGGGTCCTGGCCTTCAGCCACTACAGTCTAGAGCCACACTTCCAGGCCCTGCCCACCAGTGTCCAGTCCCCTCCCCCACAAGGTGTTCTCAGTCACCCATCAGAAGGAGGGGGATCTTGGATTTGGATATACGAGGAGGGGTGCGCGCACAAGCAAAAATCTAACCCTAAATAAATCGCCACGCAGCTCTGTCTGTGTGACATGATCAAATTTTCATAAGCTGGGGCGGTGAGAGGAGAGAACAGGTCTCTTAATAAATGCCACTATTATAGAGTGTCCGCTAATGCGACGGGAGGTGGGAAGGGGGTGTTGAGGAGGAGGCGGGGACGCGAAGGGGAGGGTGGCGGGGGCTCCGGACTCCAGACCTGGATTTATTAAGAAACGATGCATTCAATTTCGGCGTGTTCAGTAATTATCTTTTATTTCATTTTCTCCCCTTCCCACCCCTCCCCCTCGGGTCCAGCAGAAGGTTGTGGTGGCGGCGGCGGCGGCGGTGGCAGCGGCGGCAGTAGCAGCGGCGGGGGCGGCAGTGGAGGCGGGGGAGGGGACAAGAGCCCCCCGGGGTCGGCGGCGTCCAAGCGGGCGCGGACGGCGTACACAAGCGCGCAGCTGGTTGAGCTGGAGAAAGAGTTCCACTTCAACCGCTACTTGTGCCGGCCGCGCCGCGTGGAGATGGCTAATTTGCTGAACCTCAGCGAGCGCCAGATCAAGATCTGGTTCCAGAACCGCCGCATGAAATACAAGAAAGACCAGAAGGCCAAAGGGCTGGCCTCGTCGTCCGGGGGTCCCTCTCCGGCCGGCAGCCCCCCGCAGCCCATGCAGTCCACGGCTGGCTTCATGAACGCCTTACACTCCATGACCCCCAGCTATGACAGCCCGTCCCCGCCAGCCTTCGGCAAAGGCCACCAGAATGCCTACGCACTGCCCTCCAACTACCAGCCCCCTCTCAAGGGTTGCGGCGCCCCACAGAAGTACCCCCCGACCCCGGCGCCCGAGTACGAGCCCCACGTCCTCCAAGCCAACGGGGGTGCCTACGGGACGCCCACCATGCAGGGCAGCCCGGTGTACGTGGGCGGGGGTGGCTACGTGGATCCGCTGCCGCCCCCTGCCGGCCCCTCCCTCTACGGCCTCAATCACCTTTCCCATCACCCCTCGGGGAACCTGGACTACAACGGGGCGCCCCCTATGGCCCCCAACCAGCATCACGGACCCTGTGAGCCTCACCCCACCTACACAGACCTCTCCTCTCACCACGCACCGCCTCAGGGTAGAATCCAAGAAGCACCTAAATTGACCCACCTGTGATGTGAGGGGAGGGTTGGTGGCGGGGGGGGGCGCGAGATCAAGGGCCAAGGATGTGGTGGAGCTGTGGTGGGGCAGTTTGGAGGCCTGGAAGAGGTGTGTGTTAGGGTTTTTGCAGGCTTCCAGAAACAAGGCAGGCCTGGGGCACCTCCTCCATTCCCTGACTAAGGGGCTGTCCCTACGTAAAAGCCTGGGAATCCACAGGCGGTTGGAGGCGACCACATCAGTCCCAGGACTCCAGCACTACCAAGTTGGAATTTCAGACTGGAGAGGGAGTCGGGTATAGGGAACCAAGATGGGCAAGCAGGACAGAGAAGCACATTTAAAACTCAAGGCTTGGCTTTCATCAACCAACCAACCAACTTACCTTCCATCTCTGTGGAAATCCCCCAAGATCTTGATTTTTTTTTGTCCTCCCTTTCATTCTCCTTATGAAAAATAAGAAAACACATTTAAATCTAAGGGCACAAAGTGTTCCCCTCCCACTCCCCCAAGCCTCAATTTGCCCCCATCTATCTAAGGCTTCCTGCTATGCCGCCTTTCTAGCTCCATGATTTTCTGTTCTTAGGTCATATCCATACCCCACCCCTATTGCTTACAAGTTCCAGAGGGCTCAGGGATGGTGAGAGATCCTGAAATTCAGAGCCGCCTATAATAGAAATATATATATATATTTTCTTTTAAGGAAAAGTTCAGAGGCTAAGGCAGGCAAGTTGTCACGACTGGAGGTTTGCCCACTCTGCAGCCTCTCGGCTTCCACCCCACCCTACTCTCTCTCCACGGAAAGCAATCCACAGGAAGCTCTCCCCTTTCCTTTTTCTTCTGTTACTCTCTTGACTTAACGTGAAAACAGGGTATATTTGAACAAACTGTCTGTCCGAGTCAGGGGCTGCAGCTGGGCCTGTGTACCTGGCTCCAGTCCCTGACAGGGCACTCTTGTTGCACTTGGAGTTTACATTTTAATGGATATTAAAAAAAAAAAAACAACTGTGAGAGATGCCTGGGCCTGCAGAAGTCCAGCTTCCCTCAAAAAGCGTGTGTTCTAGTGAACATTTTCATATATATTTATTGGTTATAGCCTGTTAAAATATTTTCTTTTTGTATTATTTATCCCCTCTTACATTATGTATTTATATGAGGAACAAAAAGGAAAAATGTACTTTTTTAGTATTTACTTGTTATAAAGGATGTTGTTTCCTGTCATGTCAAACCAGCTATTTTAGTTTTGTTGTATTCTAGACAAGAGCTGTAGATTTATGTTACACTCGTACTTATGAGCAATTGTAATTACTTCTAAAAGGCATGAACTCAGCTCCCAATGGTCACTGTATAGTCCTGAATTTGTAGAGTTAGAGTTACTTCTCTCTTGGAACTTTCTTTGTTCTTCTGTAGTTACTTTTTTTTTCCTTAGTTAAAAGGGTTGTCTGTCAAAACAATTCTTGAATAAACTTTCTGTTATCAATTTTATCTTGTCCTGGTGGTCCAATTCAGATTGCAGAGAAAAGACTCCAGCTGCCAAATGTCCCCTAAGAGGAGAGCACTGAAGACACTTTCCTTACCCTTTTTTTCACTGCTCAGACCCCTGTCTCCCTCCCCAGCTTTCCTCCTGGTTTGAACTCAGTTTTTTTTTTTTTTTGACATTCATAGCAGTCTAGACCATTCTGCCAAGTTTTTCAGCTAAGGTTTAACTAACAAGGTTGGAGAGGGCAGGGAGTCTTGGCTGTCTGCTTAGCCTCTTTGCCTCCCTGTTTCTCTCAGTCCCTGGCCTTTCTTCTTTCTGTGACCACTACCCCTCTGCCCACATCAAACCAAACCAAAATCTAGCTTATTACTGCTTCTTCCAGGCAACCTAAACTTCACGGTTCTCTTCCGGAGCTACAAGGAGGCTGTCACGTGACCCGAAGCCCAACCACCATTGGGTCTAAAATGAAAACAAAGGAAAATGATTAATCTGGGGGAAAGCAACAACAAACCGAGGCCTAGACTTCTCAGGTCAAGCCTTAGAACTAAAGTGAAATTAAATCATTAAATGAAGCTCAGGGCAAAGGAACTGAGGAGGCTGGTTTGATTTCCCTTGCCAGGGAAACAGGGAAGTAAGGGAAGCTGTTGAAACCAAGCATAAATAAAATGGTCCCCAGGCTAATGTGAGGTTCTGTTTCCACCATCCTTGGGAAAACTTCATTTCTTAGTCCTGGTTCCATAAAAGTTTTATCACATTGGAGCGAGGATAGAGAGGGTCTGTCAAAGATGAAATGTCACCACTGCATCGCAGTATCCGATAAGAGCAAGGAGACAGGGAGGTTGAAATATGGAGCTAATTCATTGAAAGAGAAGCCGATGGCTGCTTGCTGAAGAGTTACATAATTCTAATTGTAAGCGCTGTGCCCGCATTGCTTAATTAGGAGCATATATTTGGTGGTAGTGGTGATATGGGGGCGGTGAGAATCGTTCCAGGCCCTCAGCCTTAAAGTGAGGACCGATTTTCATTTTTATGTTGCATCCTGGCAGTCCAAGGTTAGTAATTACAGTCTTTATGCAACAATAAATAACAATAAAAAACAACCTGAATACTACACCCCCTCCCCACCAAGTAGGATTGTTTTAACTGGACTTGGCTCATTCAGGCAGCAGGCAATTTAGCATTGGGTCAGGCTATAAATTAAAGGCAGAGGGGCGTGCAAAGTTTGATTGGGACCAAATAAAGCTCAAGGGTCTGTCTTTCCTTTCCTTTTTGTCTTCCCTGAGTAACTTTTTCTGAATGATATAACTACATGAAGGGCTATGTTTGGCTCTGAGGGTGGAGGGAGGGGTGGATTCATTTATTTATTTATCAATGAGATAAATTATTTATCTATAAGAGAGACTTTAGCTAGATAGATAAAAAGCAGTGCTTTGGCTTGAAGCTAGGGCTATAAACAAAAACAGAAGCTAGCCTTCTGTCTTCATGACTCCAGGTACTTAGCCAAAGCTGTGAAGAACATGGCTAAAATCTGTGCTGTAAGATTCCTATCAGACAGGGTGCAGGAGGGATGTCTTTGAGGGTTCTTCCCCCCCCCTTAACACCCAAGTTTTCTGCCTTTCACTGATCTGGCCATAAAATCTGTCATCAAGGGTTAGAGAGCTGTATTTCCTACGGGACAGTCTGGGCCCTGATTGCCTTAGAAGAACCCTGGGTACTGCTGCATGAAGCCAGCTGGTTTGCTACAAAACTAGTAGAGGTGTCTAAGGGCAGCACCAGGGAGACAGCTCCTCACAGGCCTCACTGTACAACCTGCAGACAGCTACCATTTGGATTCTTTCCTGCTAACCAACACCCAAATATAATATACATTACATATAATATACTATATGTAATATTACATACATCTAATTTTAAAAACTGAGTTACACACCACCCTCTCTGGCCCTCTGGCCCAATTAAGAGAAGCTCTCCAAGAGCCTGCCTCTTTCTGTGCCTTCAGCCAGCCACATCCAGATCCTCCACCCGACACCTTCTAGTCAGACTTCTCGGGCTTTTTATTTTCTTTCCTTTTCCCCCCTTTCTATAAATACTCACCACCACCCACGCAGACGTTACACTGACAGAAAGTTTCTAGTTCCAGCTCTCCGCTGAGTTGCCATTTCTCTGCTAACCAGCCTTCTTCTCTAGGCTGGGCCGTAGAGAGCAAAGGGGGGAGGGGAAGCCAGAGCTGTGGGAGTTCTCCGGGGCAAACTTTCCACCCAAGTTAGCGCCTTCCCTCTGTCCCCATTTCCCATCTGTTTCCTGGCCCTCCCAGAATCACCTTTCTCTTTTGCTGCTCCCTCCCTCAGGCCTTTTTAAGGGATGTGGAATTTAGGCTGTTCCCTCTGCTTTCCCAAAGAGCCAAATTCTTTGAAGCAATCGGAGGGAGCTGTCAGGGGGTTAAGATTGATCGCCTCCTCTCCTCTTGGTCCCTCTGACCCACTTATTTAAAAATCTTCCCCCAATCGACTTTGCATTTTCAGCTTTGAGGCCTAGTTTCCCACCAAATTGCTTGTGGCTCTGAGTTTTGTGTCTCCTCCCTCTAGTAAATTAAAACATTCTAAAGTTGAGCCTATCATAGTCTTCTCACTAGAATACATTCATTTTTCCCCTCTGGTGTCCATCAACAGAATATAATCTCAGTGGTGGTCGTTATTTCTTTTCCCTTCATCTTTAGGGAACTTTTTTTTTAAAAACCAGGGATTAAAAACAATTGCACAAAGGCCAATATGGGAGGGAAAGTCCCTTTGTCCTGAGGGAAAGTGCCCCCCCTCCATGCATGGACTTTAGCTTTGAAAGTTAAATGGATGGCTACCTTGTTGCCCCTGGATATAGACATAGAAACAACCTGAGGACTATGAATGTGTCTGCCATTTTAGACTGTCTTAGATCCTCCTATTGCCAGTGCTGAGGTGTCACAGAGTGTGAGCACAGATGACCCCAACGGGAAGGAAGGCAGGTGGATGTCAGGGGTTGCCTGTAAATACTGGGCAGAGAAGAGAATCCATAACTGGAGAGGGAGGCCAGCGCCCCCAAAGTGCTCCTGTTGTCTCGCCGCCGCTTCGTGCCAGCTTGTGCATTTCTTAAGTTTGAAAAGCTGCGTCTAGAGGGTGGGTGGGCCTGGGCTGGTGCTCAGTGTTGCCATTCATCAGTCTCCGTTCTGATTTTTCACCTTAACACTAACCTTTCCCCCAAAGCGTTGGAAGCTCTTTCTACTCCCACTTCCTCCCGAGAGCCTTTGCTCTTTTGGGAGGTGGCTGGGAGGGTGCGAGGACACTGATGGTCACATAAAGAAAGCATATTAACTGACTCAATTAAAATCTTTAGACAAGAAGCCCACGTCTCCCTTAAATGTGGTTCTTTGGCAGGTTCCCACCACCACACAGTCTCGGAAGGGGAGGAAGCGGTTCTTCTGGCTTTTCTGGGGAAAAACGAGCAATTGGAGAAAGCGTGGGGCGCCGGTGTTGGAATGGGGGTACTGGAGGAAGGCTTATGGTATCCAGGTCGTGGTCCTCTGGAGTTTTTGAATCAATTAAAGCAAATAATGCCTGTGTTTTCCATCAGGCCCAGACGAGCGATTGGCGGAGACCGGTCCCGTGACCATGAATTCCCTGCAATTTCGTCGGAGTCCTGGGTTTAATAGAGAGAGTCCCCATACGCGTGTATTTATCAGCAATATACAATTATAAAGGCCTAAATTTAAAAAAAAAGAGAGAGAGAGAAATTCCCCTCCTCCGCGAAATCGCTTCATTGAATAAACCTGGGGGGGGCGGGAGAGGGGGTCCCTTCCGATCCTCCCTCCTGACGCCCCCCCCCATCAGGCCCCCTCCCCCACCATTGAAAGCCATGAATTTTGAATTTGAGAGGGAGATTGGGTTTATAAACAGCCAGCCATCGCTCGCCGAGTGTCTGACTTCCTTCCCCGCTGTCTTGGAGACATTTCAAACTTCATCAATCAAGGAGTCGACATTAATTCCTCCTCCTCCTCCTCTGGAGCAAACCTTCCCCAGCCTTCAGCCCGGCGCCTCCACCCTTCAGAGACCCGGGAGCCAAAAGCAAGCCGAAGATGGGCCTGCTTTGCGACCGCCACTCTCCGCTCCCCCAGCCCCCGAGTTCCCCTGGATGAAAGAGAAGAAATCCAGCAAGAAACCCAGCCAATCCGCCGCATCTCCTTCTCTAGCGGCTTCCTCGGTCCGGGTCTCCGGGGTCGGATCACCTTCAGGTGGGTAACCGTAGTGGGGGCGGGGTGAGGGGCAATTGGAAGAGAAGAGGAGAAAGTGAGGTGATGGGGAGCCTGGTAGGTTCCCTGTGCCCATTAATTCTGGGGTTAGGGAAGATTATTATTCAGCTGGAGTCCAGGCCTAGCCACTGCCAGCACCATCACCACTACCCCCCCGCCCCCCCCCCCCGCAGCAGATTTTGGAAGCTGACTGGGCAGGGGGTGGGGTGGGAAGGGTGCTTTTTATGTGTTAAAAGAAAAATGGTTCGATTGAAGTGTTTCCCGTTATCTGTGTAGAGGAATGGAGCCTTGTGCCTGGGGTTGAATCTGGAGTCAGGAAAAGATGCGATCCTGCTACTTCTCCCAAGCCTAGGAGAAAAGGGGAAATTCAAAAGCCAGGAAGGAAAGGGGTGAAGATCCCTCTCTCCAGGTTGAGGTGGAAAGTTCCGAATTGAGGAGTCCATTGGGAGGATTGAGGGAGCGAGGCTCTGAGGTTCTGGGAGAGAAAAGGAATTGCTCCCCGCCCCCGACGTGACCCGTGGGCGGCTATGAATTCACCGACCTGACCCGGGCCAGGTCTTTCTGCGTGGGAGAGCCCTGAAAGAAAAACAAAAAAACCCGAAAACCAAAGACACAGAGAGGGAACCGCTTTGGGGGTGGGGTGGGTGGGAGTCCGGGCAGGACTGCGGATCGTTTTTTAGTGAATGGTGTGCTCCTGATCTCAGCTAAAGCCAGGCTGGGGTGAGACCTTTCTAATACTCAGGGCGTTTTCCTCTCAGATGGCTCGGGACTGTCGGAGAGCGGCGGCGGCGGCTCGCGCAGGCTGCGCACGGCCTACACCAACACGCAACTGCTGGAGCTGGAGAAGGAGTTCCACTTTAACAAGTATCTGTGCCGGCCGCGACGCGTGGAGATCGCCGCCTTGCTGGACCTCACCGAAAGGCAGGTCAAAGTCTGGTTCCAGAACCGACGCATGAAGCACAAGCGGCAGACGCAGCATCGGGAGCCTCCGGATGGGGAGCCAGGCGGGCCGAGTGCCCCGGACGACTCGGGGGACCCAGCCGAGGAATCCGTAGTCAGCCCGGGCCGCGCCTCCGCCTCTCACCGACTGCGAGAAGCCTGCTTCCTCCCGGCCGAGGCCGCGCAGGGTCCCCAGGGCGCACCGCTGCCGGCGCCTCCGGCCACTTCCTTGGAGAATGTGAGCGCGCCGAGCCCTGGCTGCACGATGCTCAGAGCCCGAGGCCTGCAGCCAGAGCCCCTGCCGGAAGACACCTGTCCCGAGCAGCCAGATTCGCCTTTCCTGCCCGACCTCAACTTCTTCGCTGCAGACTCCTGTCTCCAGATGTCCGGGGGCCTTTCTCCCAGCTTGCAGGGCTCGCTGGACAGCCCTGTCCCCTTTTCCGAAGAAGAGCTAGACTTCTTCACCAGCACGCTCTGTGCCATCGACTTGCAGTTTCCCTAACCTTTTTCTTTCCTCGATCCTTTCCACCTGGTCCTCTTTGGCTGCTGGGGGAAAAAAATCGAGCCTTCTCCACCCCTAGTCAAATTTATGTGCTTTGCTAAAATTCAGGTATTAATGAATTAGCGCTTAATCCACTCCCTTTCACTTTTTAAAATCACACAGAAAAAGTCCACCTTCCAACGAAATCTCAGGAAACTCTAGTGGGGGAGGGTTTTCTTAAAAAGAACGAGAGGGACCTATTTTCCTCTTTTTTAAGTTTTAGATCGTAGCTTATTTATTAAACTTGTTTAATAATAGGAAAAGGGGAAAGTATTTATTGTACATTATTTTCATAGATTAAATAAATGTCTTTATAATACGAAAACGAGTGTTTGTGTTGGGATCCGGCTCTTTTTCCCAAGTCCCTATGGCCAGTCTTCGCTTTTCCAGACCCCACTTGAGGCTGGTCTGGCTCGGGCGACCAAGCTGTAGCATGGTCCCATCTCCCAGGCTGGCCAAGTCCGGGTGGCACAAAACTGACCCTGCTTGGCGGCTGCTTCTCTGTCCACGACACCAGGAAGAACTGGTAGTTTAGTGGAAGATTGGTCACCTTTGGCCCTGTTCCGAAGTTCCCTGGCTCTCTGCTTGGAAATAACGGTGGGGTGGGAGGAAAAAGAGAGAGTGGAACAGAAGCGGGTGCAAGAAAATATCTCAGGGGCCAGCCAGCTACGAGCCCTGGAGGCGGCACGGGGTTGAAGGAATCCTCTGACCGGCTAGCCTGCTGGCTTCAGGTGCGATTCTGCAAGCCTGGGCCGAGGCCTGCGCCCGGTGCTGCTGGGCTGCAGGTCGCTTAGGACTGGAATCGGGACTAGGAGTATTTTGAGAAGCAGGGAGGCTGCTCGGGAAGCGATCCGCCTTCGACGCGGGAAGGTTTAGCGAGGGGAAGGTTTAGCGAAGCCAGCTGCGGGGAGAGCAGGAAGCCGGGAAGATGCTCAAAATGGCGCTGGGCCGGGCAGCTGGGAGCGCCCGGGAAGCCGCTGTGGCCGCCATGACAACGGCTGCGGGGACGCTCGGGGTCCGGGGATCCGTCCCCACTCCCGCTTTCCTGAGGCCAGACCTTCCACGCCGAAGAGAAGACAGTCCGGGAGCCTCCCACCAATCGTGGGGTTTTATTTTATTTCACTTAGAAAAAAGGAAGCAGGCGCCTTGGGGATGGAGAGGAGAGGGACACGAGGAACTCAGAGTCCCTGTGGTGCGGGAGGGGAGGCGGGCTTGGGCCTGCGACCACTTCACCCAGCGCGGCTCTTGATCCTTTGCTCTGGGCTTTGAAACCGTGCCAGAGCGTGTTCCAAACGCAGGCCCACCTGTCTTGACCAACAACTTCATTTTCCATCTCAACGCGACTCCCCTCCTCCCCCCCCCCCACCCTTCCCGGCTCTGTAAACTCAGCAAAGGCGAAGCCGGGATCTCTCTTCCCCATCTGCCTCTGGGATTGTTCTCCGGAACCAGGAGATTTAAGGGACCCTGGAAAGCCATTCATTCTCCTCAGGTTTATTTAATATTTCTCGGGCTCAGAAACAGACAACTATCTCCCCGGCAGATGCTGCCTTTTTTTTTTTCTTTTCTTTTTTTTTTTTTAGCACTTTATTTCCTGGGCCTCCTAGACTTTTCTCTTGGACCAGCAGGAGCCAACATAGGAGGTGACACGGAGGGCTAGACAAACCCATTGCATTTTTTTCTCCCAACGGGTCGCTCAGTGTGGGAAGTACAAACATTTTATTCAGTTGGAATTTAATCCCTTAAACTGTCTTAATATAGAATTCACCTCATACATTAAATAATCTTATGTCATGTTAAATTGCACTTATTTCTCTCATAAATGAATTAATATAGAACAATTAGATGTGTTATTATAATAATATCG